GCGACGAGATGACCAGGAGGAAAATGACAAGGAAGAGGAGGAGGAGGAGGAGGAGGAGGAGGTGAGGAGGGGGATGTGGAGGAAAAGGATCAGGAAGGGGGGGGGGCAAGGCCATGCGGAGTTCCCCTGGCGGGCGGAGGCGCAGGAGCCCCGGAAGTAGCGGAAACAGATTGCGTTCCTGCGCGGCAGGCGTGGGGCAGGACACTTCCCCTTCCCCCTGCCCCTCCTCATCCTCCTCATCTTCCTCCTCCTCCTCCTCCTCCTCCTCCTCCTCCTCCTCCTCCTCCTCCCTTGTCGCCCTCCTCATCCCCCTCCTCCTCTGTCCCCCTCCCCCTTTGCGAGCAACCACATACAACCCCTCCATGAGCAGCAACGCATGTGCAAATCCTTCCTCCTTCTGTCGTTCCCTTCCTCGCCCTTTTAATCCCACCAGCCCTCTGGGCGTGGCTGGTCTAACGATGTTTTTCTTTCCTCTTCCACAAGAACCCTCTTCCCTTTCGGGGAGGGGTTTATCACTGTTCCCTATAAATTTACACCCCTCCCCCAGGCGACTGGAAGCCAACCCAGATCCATTCGGGCACCCCCCCACCATCCCTTGTAAAAAAACATGATCGACCCACGAACTCGGAAAGGAATATAGAAATGTAACGCATGGCAACGTTTTCAAAGACACCTGATTGGGTGACGGGCAAATGCAACGCTGAATGATCGATCTTGATGTACCCTGCCGAGGACTGTGCTGTGCTGCACCGTGCTGCATTGCGATGTGCCATGCTGCGATTGTGCTCCACAGCGTCGTGGATCGAGTCCTCCTTTGCATCCGAGTCCTGACCGAACGGATCTGGATCTTAAGCTCGCGCTGCCTGAACACATAGTAGCTGCCCAAGAGCTAATTGACAAGGGGGCATGCCAGGAGGACGGGCCGAGAAACGTCCCAAGGGACGCGCCAGGCGACGTGCCAGGGGACGTGCCATGGGGTCGCACCGCGGGACGTGCCAAGGGGACGCGCTACGGGACGTGCCAGGGGACGCGCCGCGCGACGTGCCAGGGGACGCGCCGCGCGACGTGCCAGGAGGACGCGCCACGGGACGCCCCACGGAACGTGCCAAGGTGCAATGCTGAACATATCGATCTTGATGTACCGTGCCGACGGCTGTGCTGTGCTGGGCCGTGCTGAACTGCGATGTGCCATGCCGCGATTGTGCTCTGTATAGCGTTGTGGATCGAGTCCTGAGCAGACGGTAGCTGCCCCAGAACTAATCGACAGGGGGACATGCCAGGAGGACGCGCCGCGGAACGTCCCAAGGGACGCGCCAAGCGACGTGCCAGGGGACGTGCCATGGGCACGCACCGCGGGACGTGCCAAGGGGACGCGCTACGAAACGTGCTGGGGACAAGCGTTTTGCTCGAGACATCCTGTCAAAACCCTCATGCTAGACATCCGCCTGAGCGACCTGGACACGTGAAAACACGCGCTCCGCTCAAGACGTGCTCAGCACATCCTCATGCTAGACATCCGCCTGGGCAACCTGGACACGTGCAAACAAGCGTCTCGATCGAGGCTTCCTCGACACATCCTCATGCTAGACATCCACCTGGGCGACCTGGACACGTGAAAACAAGCCTCTTGTTCGAGACAACCTCAACAAATCCTCATGCTAGACATCTGTCTGGGCAACCTGGAGGCGTGAAACCAAGCGTCTCGCTCGGGACATCCTGAAGACCTGGGCACGTGAAAACAAGCATTTCACTTCAGCGATCCTCTGAATTCAGGTCCCCAGGAGAGGACAAACTATAACACAAAACAAGCGTTTCGCTCGAGACATCCTCAACCAATTCTGAAAAACAAACGTTTCACTCGAGACATCCTCGAACATAACTTTGCCTGCCCTACGCGACCTCGTTATTTATCACAAAATAAATTCGCCGGCCCTACAGCCGTCAGAACCGGGGGTAAACACACTAAAAGAGAACCCTGGGCCCGAGCCCTTTCCGGGAACTAGTCCGGGGACGATGTTTTTACTATTTTTGACCGTTTTGGAATATTTTTGGGGTGTGTATTATTTTCCATCGAAAACACCCCTGCAGGGGGACATGCCCGACCTGAGCCTACCCCCAGGAGATTCCCCAGACCCCTCGAGCGATGTGCCAGACGCCCCCCCCCCCAGCGCGGGGCGGCACTCCGCTGCGCCCGCGTCGGCTTCTTCTGCGGCCGCTGCCCCGCCTGCGCCTGCGGCGGCCGGGGGCGAGGCGCCAGCAGGGCGGGCGAGGCGGATCGGGGTTAGGAGGCAACTACTGGGAGCTTTTCGTCGGAAGGATTAAAGAAGATTAAGCCCCACTGGGGGCTGTTACGCGGGAGAGGGCCTCGGATGAAGCCAGCGGGATTAAGCGGGATTCAGCCGGATCAAACGGGATCGGGGGCTGGCGCGTCCCTCGGAGCTTTTGGCGGCGCGTCTTCTTAGCATGCCCCCCCCCGTGAATTAGCTCTTGGGCAGCTACTATGTGCTCAGGCAGCTCGAGCTTAAGATCCAGATCAGTTCGGTCAGGACTCGGATGCAAATGAGGACTCGATCCACAACGCTATAGAGCACACTCGTCACGTGGCACATCGCAATTCAGCACGGCGCAGCACAGCACTGCCTTCGGCACGGTACATCAAGATCGATACATTCAGCATTGCAACTTGGCCCCCTGGCACGTCGCGCGGCGCGTCCCCTGGCACGTCCCGTGGCACGTCCATTGGCACGTTCCGTAGCGCGTCCCCTTGGCACGTCCCGCGATGCGTCCCCGTGGCACGTCCCCTGGCACCTCGCTTGGTGCGTACCTTGGCACGTCCCGTGGCACGTCCATTGGCACGTTCCGTAGCGCGTCCCCTCGGCACGTCCCGCGGTGCGTCCCCATGGCACGTCCCCTGGCACGTCGCCTGACGCGTCCCTTGGAACTTTCGGCGGCGCGTCTTCCTAGCATGCCCCCCCCCGTGAATTAGCTCTTGGGCGGCTTCTATGTGCTCAGACAGCTCGAGCTTAAGATCCAGATCAGTTCGGTCAGGACTCAGATGCAAAGGAGGACTCGATCCACAACGCTATACAGCACAATCGTCACGTGGCACATCGCAATGCAGCACGGCGCAGCACAGCACAGCCCTCGACACGGTACATCAAGATCGATACACTAAGCATCGCATTTGCCCGTCGCCCAATCAAGTGTCTTTGAAACGTTGCCAAGTCTCACATTTCTATATTCCTTTCCGGGTTCGTGGGTCGATCTGCGCCACTCTTAGCTTAGCTTACCTTCACCTTAGCTTCGCCGAGCTTTAGCATAGCAGAGCACAGCAGAGCGTAGCAGAGCGTAACATAGCATAGCGCAGCACAGCATATCATAGCATAGTCCAGCATAGCAAAGCATAGCATAGCGCAGCATAGCATAGCATAACACAGCGCAGCACAGTACAGCACAGCATAGCACCGCGCAGCATAGCATAGCATGGCATATCAGAGCATATACTAGCGCCGCATAACATAACATAGCATAGCTTATCATAGCATAGCGCAGCTTAGCATGGCATATCATATCATAGCTTAGCATAGCACAGCACATCATAACATATCATAGCATAGCATATCATAGCATATCATATCATAGCATAGCGCAGCATAGCATAGCATAGCATAGCATGGCATAACATAGCGCTGCATAGCATGGCATGGCATAGCAAAGCATAACATAGCAATTCATGCTGCTTTCCTAGGGGCTCCAACTTCTAGGTAGGGTCGCACTGGGGTAATTTTCATACCCAGTTCGGTTGTCCAAAGAAGATGGAGAAAAGCTTTGGGCACCCTGGGCAAGCGACACTTCTCAGCGAATCCTGAGATCCGACGTCACAAGAAATTGCAACATCGCGAAAACTCACGCCCAGAAACCTGGACCCTGGACCCCATCTTTCCGCGACACCTTTCGAGCCGCACCATTCCGTGATGGCCCCAGGGCCCGAAACCAAGCGAAAACGCCTGGTGCAACAGAACATGCAACGCGCCAATCTCAAGGTCAGCAACTGGATGGTACCTTAGGAGGCACCTACTGGGAGGCTTTCGCCGAAGGATTAAGAAGGATTGAGCCCCATTGGGGGGCTGTTACGCCGGAGTGGGCCTCGGATTCAGCCGGATTAGGCGGGATTGAGCGGGATTGAGCCGGATCGAGCGGGATAGAGCCGGACTTCGGACCAGGGCAGAATCAGATCTTCACCTCCCGAGAGTGGAATCCGAAAGTACCGATACCGCTACTCCCTGGACCTCTTCGGGGGTGCGTTCTGACCAGACTCTCGAGGCGAATCCAGCCAGCCGCGGCGACGAGGGCCCCCCCCCCAGAAGGCCCCCCAAAAGCGAACACGAGGCAAGGGCAACAGTATCCATAAGAAGTTTCCTCCTCTGACTCCTGGAGTCGGAGGTCGGAGCAGACTTAAGTTGGGCCTATCCTCCTACAGGGGGATTTTGGACGAAAAAGTTACAAAAATAGTCAAACAATACCCCCAACATTGTCAAACAATGCTGAACAAATCGTCCCCAGACTACTTTTTGACTATTTTTGAATATTCCTCCTTCGCCGATGAAACGTCGATGCATCGGCGGTGCATCGGCGACGTCGGCGCGGATAAAATCGGGCTCCACATCGAGCCGCCTCGCCGAAGCATCGGCGATGCGGCGCGATCCTCCGACCCAATCTGAGCATTGTTTAGCTGACCCTACCCCACTGGCGTGGCCTGGGCACCACTGGCAGATTTACCCCCCTGGATGCAGATACAGGCTGATCCCTTAGAATTTCGAGGGGCATATCCGCAAATGGGATGTTGGAATGATGGGGATCGGGATACCATGGCACGGTGGGGATGGGGATAAATTCAACGATACCCTGTCTGGCAGCTCTCGCTTCTAGAGCGCGTCCAGGACGTCGGTAAATCCTGGAACTCCTGGAAACCACACCTCCTCCTTCAGTGCGTCCTGAAACTAGCAAGTGGCCGGGCAGAGCAACGCGTGCGTCTCTCGGCAACCGCAAGCAACTGGGCAGATGGCCGATATTGGCCGGAAACCGTACACGCTGGTCTCCTCGCACATGTTCCCGTACTGCCACGGATCGAGATCCAACGGATCGTAGGCTACCATGGCCGCGACAGCTCCAGCGCAACCGATGCCGTGCATGGTGTTGAACATCTTCTCTGTCACAGCTGCCACGAGCTCTGGCGGCCAGCCTTGAAGGGGCCCTGGGACACACAAATAAATAGACACAGATAACAGGATTCTCCATTTGTCCACATATTTTCGGGGTTTGCGTCTTCCCTCCCGCTTGCCATATGTTCCCATGCTTTCTGGGGGATCGACGATTAATTGTGTCTGTGTGTTTTTTTTGCCTCCTGAAGCCTGTTAGTCGCATATCCGACGCGTAGGTTTGCAGCATGTCGGCCCCCTGGTACCGACCCGTCCCATTGTAGACCCGCGGCTGCTCCGGGGTCCAGTCCGAACAGGTGAGCTCGCGAAGCTTCTGCATCCACCGCTCCCCGCTGGTGCAGGAGCGGGGGCAGCCGTGCTCAGGGGTGAAGAGAAGGACGGCGCTGGCAGGGTGGTCGCAGCCGCAGGTCTCGGGGCAGAACTGCCTGGCACGGGTGCCGAGGGTGCTCTCCTCGCCGCACACGGGCTGCACGTCCGCGCAAGAACGGAAGGGCCCCTCTCGCTCCCTGGGATCGTCCCCGAAATCGTTCTCGCTTCCCTGAATTCTCGCGAACTCGATGGAATCGGGTACGTCCGCGAGGGCCGCCCAGATCTCGGAGCCCGGGTAGTCCAGGTCAATGCATAGCACATCCAACTCGATGGTAGAATCTTCCACGTCCTGCGTAACCCTGCCCTCCACCGTGAACCGGCTGCCTTAGAAGCCGTCCGCCGTCTGCCGGCTATGCTTGAAACGTTCGGACACGGTCGTCATCGCATCGTTGTCATTTTCAATCAGACCCCGGAACGCGCGGTACTCGTTCTGGGCGTTCAGGAACTCCGTGTCCGATACCGCCTCGTGGTAATTGGCCCCGGGACTGAAGGCGGCCACCAAACTGGTGCTGGTGACGCCGGCGACGAAGTCCAAATTCCCGCCGCAGAGCTCGTGCCGTGCAGCCTCGAGCATGGTAGACTGATCGCGCAGGATGAACCAAACATGATGGACCCACGAACCCGGAAAGGGATATAGACATGTGGAGCATGGACACGTTTTCATGATACCCAACTGGGCAACACCTCACGAAACATCCCACGAGACACCTCAC